ACACACACACACACACACACACACACACACACACATTTATGTACTGGCATGTCCAGCCCCCAGAGCATTATTTAAAGATGAGCTATTTAAATGGAGTCATAATAAAAAATAACAGCTAACATAAGTGTTTTCTAAGATGATAGAAGAAAATACATATACATTTGTAACTATAAGTGACAACATATATGCTGTCAATATACGTAAGAGAGTAAGTAGAAAGATGCTACTTATTGTGGCGAATGGAAAAAAGACCACTGTCCTCAAATGAAAAAGTTAATTCTGTTTATAAAAGATAAAGGAAAAGAAAATAATAAAGGGCAGAAATACATTTTAGTATAACATTTACAATCTCCTAATAATATCTCATCTTCTTTCTTGCAGAACTTTTCTGTTACTGTCTCCTTTGTTGTCAAAATAGTTCCAGAAAAGACATGTCTAATGACTTTTTCAATAACATGTAATATCTTAATCTTGCATATACTTCTTATAACTCCTTTTAATTAATGAAAATATTTCAGGAAAAAACCAAACACTACTTCCCCCAAGAAAAGGAAAAATTTCATGATTTAACAAAAAGCTACTTCTGTTGCTCTTAAAATATTAGCCCAATATAGTTTTGTTTTTAGCTTAAAACTTTTGATCCAAAATTGAACGTCTGGATTTTGAGAACCTACATAGCTCTATAACACCCATGGAATTTCAAGTTTAGTAATCACCAGCACTACTGGCAATATTAAAGAGTATGTTTCAAAAATATAAATGAATAAATTTAAATACATTAATATTTTTAAATGGTTAAATAAGAGAATGACAACTGAACAAATGAATAAAAAAGTGAGGACTTGAATTTGCAAAATTCTTGTAATATGAACATAATATAAAATGCATAACTTAACTTCTAATTTTTATTATAATATGTTCAAATCAGGGAGCACTTTATATGAAGTCCACCTGGAGTATTCGGTAATCTATTATGCATTTCCCTATTTGTTTGGCTTTGGATGTTGACAAAGACATTGCAAGTATCCTTATATTTCATAGCAATTTTAGTACTTAAATGATTACTATGAAATTCACCCCAAATTTCCTTACAGTTGAAAAGCAGTGAAGAATATAGAAATATTTACTTTTATCTTAAGTACCATCTTTGTATAGTACAATATTTTCATTTCTCTTAAAAACCTATGACAATTGATAGTCATTTAAAGGTATAGAGCAAAATTCATGACCTTGAATTTTGAAATAATTACTAAGGTAAAAATGTTTAGATATCTTCACAAAATCTAATCCATTAAATTCCAGAAAACCTAACTCTAATAAATAAAATACTACGAGAAATAATAAAGTTGAATTTCAACCAATTAAAATTATTAAAAGTGAGAAAGTTGATGGTTAAAAGCACAATTATGTTTTTTTAAGAAGAACTTGGTTCCTAAAAACTAGCACCACATTTTAAAAACACTATTTGATATTCCAAAAAGAAAAATTAATGTAGTGATTACATACTGAAAGTTGTCCTGATAAGAACTGTGGAACATCCCTCAACATGCCAGGACTCATGGGAGAGGTAACAGAAATAGAAGGACGATCCATTTTTTGAGATTCAAATGAGCTAGAACCTGAAACGATAATTATACATAAAGAACGATAATAATGGCTCTTCCCTAGTTTTTAATAACCGTTATCATATATCTCTCATATTATTTATTTTTAAATGTTCACAAAATGTCATTAGATAAATCATCAACCACAATGTTCCAAATATACTTAGAGGTTATTTTTTTGGAAGCATAAATCCATAAACATAAGGGATTTTCTTAAGACCAACATTGAACCATTTTCTATGCCAATTATAGTAGAGACAGACCTCTACTTCAGGACTTAGTTACTTTTTATGTTATTAAAAATAGAAACAAGGAGGAATAACCAAAACACAAATCAATAAAGCAACATAAATATAGGCTGAACTTGCAATTCTAAGAACATAAGTGCTAGAATGTCCAAAATTATTAAATGTTTCCAGGAGGTGATTTTTTAAACTATATCTAGAAGGATATAACAAATTAGATTGGCAGAAAGGAAGTGAGAGACTATGTAAAAAGATACAGAATAGCAGAAAAAGCAGAATTACTGTACCCAGAAAGTATATGTATGAATTTATTTCTATGGAGGGGAAGGGACAAGTTGGAAAGTGAATAGGAATAAAAGCTAATGGGATACTGTGGGAATTGTGTCCCTGGAATTCTGGGCTATGCACTGTGGCACTAATGTATCCATAGTAAGTTTTATGAGTGAGATTAAAACTTCATTTGAGGAAGATGACTTCACCAGCTATTTAAAACGTGGATTAGAAGGGAAAGGGATGGAAAAGAGTTAAGGGCAAATAGATTGAATAAGATAATAGTAGTACAGGTAGTGGAAATAGAATGGAAAGAAGGAATTTAGGCAATATCATGAAAAAAGAAAATGAGGACTCAGAAACTAATCAAATGTGAGAGATAAAGGAAAGAGAAGGGAAAACAAGATTTTAAGCATAAGAACCAGACATAGGGTTAAGACAGTTCTCTGTGTCTGTGGTGTTCTCTGGATAGGACAATGGTGATATTCAAAGGGATTTAGAACACTGCGGAACATCTGGGTTTAAGGGAATGGGTGGATAAGAACTTAGTTTGGAATACAGTTACCCTACAACACAACTAAGATATCCAAGAGGAGATATAAGCAGGTAACTGGAAATACACATAGGACCAACTCCAAATGGTGGGGTAGAGGCTAGTGTTAGAAATTAAACTGTAGAGTTGGATGTCTAATTGGAGATACAGGTGGGTAAAGCTTACTTCTACAGAGAGTATAGTGTAAAATGAAGGGGAAACTGCAAGCCTTGGGATCAGAAGTAATGGTGGTAACTTTTAAATTATTTAGCAAGTAGAAAGAATTATGCCTTTATTCTAAGAAATAAGCTGTTTTCTTACTCTAAAGCTTGCTAAGCTTCAGGTAGCAGTAAGACACTTAACAGAATGTATTCATTAAACATAAAGGGATGAAGGAATAACAATAGACCCTAGCTGGCAATTAAAACCACAAGAAGAAAAGAATTTATTGAGGAACCAGGAAAAGAGAGTGAAGGACTGGGCTTGGAGAAACAGATTCTTCAATGTGTAAAAAATAAAAGATTGGATCTAATTTGAGAAAGGCCCTTGTCTACATAGGAACAATTTCAGAATTGTAGCCTAGGCGCTTTTTATAACAAATAGCTAAAATAAGATAAAGGGTTCCACAGTGCTCACACAATATCTGAGTGATATAATAAAGGTGCATACAAGTTTTACCTACCCCATAGGATTGTTGTAAGAATTCAGTGTGATAATATTGGTACAACATCAAGTGCAGTTGCGAGTATTAAATAAAATGGGAGTATTGAGAATGATGATGATGATGATAATATCATTTTATAATAATAATTATATTATTTATTTATTGCATTATGGGTTTATGTGATCATGATATTATTTTGGATAAAACAATTTAGCACTTAGCCAAAGGTACTAAATCAAATAGGTCATGTGACCATATTTTAAAGTATAGAGTGATGGCATTCCAAAAAGACTTCACTTTTCTGGTGAAAATTTTAAAGAAATTTATGCTTATAATCGTAAATATGAAACTAAAAATCTATTTTGATAGTATATTCTCAATTATTGTGGTATATAGAGAATCTGACCACTTCTCACCACCTCCGTTGCTACCACCATGATCTAAGTCACCACTGTCTTGGCATCAGGTTATTAAGCTAGTACTCTCACTGGCCTCTTTACTTTTATCCTTGACTCTATTTATTTTTAACATAGTAGCCTGATTTTAAGACTAAATATCTCCTCCAAACCATCCTATAAAGCTCCCAATTTCCCTAAAAGTAAAAGCCAAAGTCCTTGGAGTGGCATATACAGCCTATGCAATTTGTCCATAATTCCTCTATCCTGATTCCTACCATTCTCCCCTTTGTTGACTCCATTCAGTCACAATGGCCTCCTTACATTTCCTTAAATGCACCCTAGGCTTTCCTGCCTTAGAGCCACTGAACTGGCTGGACCAGTACCTGGAAAGATCTTCTCCGAGGTAGCCACTCTTTCAATTTTTGCTCCCATCCTTCCTTGTCAATGTGATCTATCCTGGTAAACATATTTCAAATTGCAACCCCCGTCCTCCTTTCTCCCAATATCACTAACTCTATTCTCAATCAATCAAGAAATTTAGCTCACTGGGAAAAATTCATTTGTTTAACATTAAAATAGTACTCAAAAACAACTAATAAAAAGTATTCACTTATTTGACATTAATTAAACTTACATGTCTACTGTTCCATTACTGCGTAGACGTTAAAGCAGAACTGTTATCCAACTTTCCAAAAATATAAATTACAATAAATTTAATTATTAGCTAGTTTGTTCCAAGCATTTCTCCCCACTTACTGAGGGTGAGATTACAAAATAGCAAATGTTTTAAATGGGGGAGACTTATGGGATGAAACTTTCAAAAGCGATAGATGTGTTCATAATTTTTTACTGTGATGATGGTATATATGGTATATAGGCATTCCAAAACTTACTTAATTGTGCAATTTAATTCTGTGCAGTTTACTGTAGTATAATTTAGTAATGCTATCTAAAAATCCATAGTAAAGATAATATGGTTAAAAAAATTTAAAATATTACAAAATTTAGTAACCTTTTTTTGCACTGACATGAAATAATGCTAAATTTCCCATCTTTATGAGATTGTATACTTAACAACAAGATTAACATATTTCTTATTTCACATTAATAGATAAAATACTTCATTTGACTTCTGATGAATGAATTACATCATTAACAACATTTTCTTCTAGAATAAATGAGACTCACTGGACTCCAGTTGTGCATGTGTGCTATCAGGTATTCTAGGTATATCTCTGAAATGACAGAAAAAAGAACACGAGAAACTGTTTCAAAAATTAATGCAGCTACTATTTTTTATTATTATCAACCTGTATTATAAAAGGACAGTGTGAAATGAAGAAAACTGTATGGGAACAGCATTATATAAACAAAAAACAAATAAGCCTTACTACTTATTGCTAAGAAAAATATTCTGGGCTAACCCTATTTAAAAATAATTAAAATTGACATGAATTTGTAGCAGATTTATAAAAACATAGACTTTATTTTCTATGTGCCTCACTACACAATTATCTATTATAAAAAAATTTTATATTCAATAAGATAAGTTTTACAGATACATTTTAATTCTATTCTGTTTATTTTTACCCACTGTTCTAAGTCAATAACATTGAAGTACAAATAAAATATCACCGAGACAAAAATTAAAATATTCAGATTGTGATTGAAACTTTTTAAATGTAATAACATCATTGAGAAAAGGCAAACATATTTCTTATTTGGACCCTCAAATTTACCTTGTAACTATATTTATACCAAAAACAAGTGTACATTTTTTAATATTAATGGTTAAGGTCATTCAGAAAATTACATAAAAGACTACAAATTATTAATATTTAAAATATTAAAGAAAAATATGATTTGAGGATCCTTTAACACCAAGAAATACATTTGATAAACACACTAAGTTGCAGTTTTACCAAAGTATGAAACTATGAGGAGACAAAATAGAGACAAAATAAAAAAAAATGGATACAACTGCATGTGCCAGATTCATTACTTTGAAAGGAACATTTCAATAAAACTAAGTTACAAACCTGAGTCATTTTCTCCAGCATTTTTAAAAAGGGATAAAAATAAGGAAGCCTAATTATTTCCTGAATGAATGAAAACTGGGCAGCATTATTCTACAACAAGGAAGAATTTCTGTAGGCTACACCCCAAATAGGCATTTAATAA